AATCCGATACCATTGCTGTGAAATGATAGAAAAATTAATTTATGGTGAAACCAGTTAAAAAATTACTCGTATCAAAATCAATAATTTGAATCGTTCAACATCAGTGATCATTCTCATGTCAGCAATATGCATCATTGTGCTAATTCAATAGGAAATAACTCGAACCATGTTCCTAACTTGACCTGACCTATCCTGATTAAATTCTCACACACTTGGGTAAACATGGTCCAACTATTCTTGAATAGCACAATGAGACAAATCACCAACATAAAAATGATCTCGAAAAAAAACTTGAACGATTTAGCACAACATGAGGGTAATCATATTGATTTATCCCGCAATTCATGTTATTGATTTTAAATGAATTAGATACGAGAATTAACATTTTATATTTATAAAAAACTGAACTTGCCATTAGAATTTCCTCTTGGAACAATTCATTGTAAATTCGATAATTAAACAATTGCCAAAATGTGTGAAAAACAATGAGCACATGTTAAAAAAACTGAAAACGAACTTTAGTTTTTTTTAAAGCACTGTTTTGAGTTGGCGTGCGTGTTTCGAACGTTTTGCTCGATGTGTCAATTGTGCTTCTACTATAGTCGTTGTAAAAATCAAAAAACCAAGCTGGAGCAGTGGCTTTATTAAATTTTTCAAAAAAATTCAAGGCGCAATTAATTATTCGAATTCGAATTATACAATTTTTATTAATAATTTTGTTAATATTGATGATATAAAATGTTTAATATAATAATGGTGATGAGGCAAACAATGATCGTCGTTGTTGTTGCTGATGATAAAGATATGATTCGGTTTCTTGGTCTTCAATGTCATTGAGTTATCGATCATCTTGTAGCAATGATATTAAAGAAAAAAAACATTTAAACAAACAAAAAATGAAAAAAAAATAAGAAAAATTACATTTATAGTAAAGATGGATATTTTTTCTGCAAAAACTTTGAAACTTCCCCTCCATAAATTTCTTCTTCCTTCGTTATGACGAATTTAAAAAAAATATGGAAAGATTTGTAGCAAGGATTAAACGATAAGTTGAAAAAATGGCAAAATGCTAAAAATTTGGCGAAAGACTCCACTATTGCACCAGTTTCAGCGATGACCGTTGAGAAGCCCCCATATTGAATCATTATTGATTGATCATTAATGACTAATATCGGGTATGTTTGGTCGGTACATTGTGTACTATACTCAACAAGCCCAGTAAAGGGATTGGCCGAACTTGAGAGAGTATTACGACCATTTTTATTTCGCAAGTTTCTTTTGAGAAAAGTCAAAAGATTGGTAACTTCATCAACACCATTTTCGACCCGAGGGGTCAGGGCGAGGATGGAAGATAACCGTTCATGCAGAACGGCCACTGAAGAGCTGGTGGCGAAAGCTTCATAATCGCTCCAAATTTTTTCGCTGTCGATCAAATAATAGGTCATCTTGATGGATTGGCCGCGTTCATGCAAACGCCGGCGGAGATCATGATGATCTTCCCAATCGACACCGGAGACCAACCCGGCGTCGATTTCCTCCTAAAAATATCACACTTGGGTTAAACATGGCTAAATTTCATCACTACTACTTACCATCATTTCGATTTTGCGTTTTTTAAATTTAAGATCAGCACCAATTGATGTAACGATTCTCTCGGGTTTCTCCGTGTTGTAATACCGCCAACGAAGGTGGCCACGGATACTCCCCGTTTTATCTTTATAATAGAAGTCGTTCTTTAAAAATAAAGTAAAATGAAGGATGAAATATATTAACCCGAATTTAACAAATTTCCTAACCTTCGGTGCCAGGTTAGGGAATTTATCCACTAGCCACTCTGCCACAGTGGCTAGGGTTCCCTCGAACCTCTTACCAAGAAGACGGCCGAAGTCATTCTTGAGCTTCCATATGACACACTTTGTCACCAAAATCCTTATTGGATCATCCAAAGGTATCACAGAATTTTCCTTCAATCGTTTAAGGGTATCCACCCCTTTGAACATTTCGGGCATGCCCGCTTGGATGAATATTTCGTCATTCCAATCCTTATCATTGGAATATATTAAAATATATAAAATAACATCATCAAAAATAAATACCAATATTTTTTGCTTAATCATTTCAATCGGAACAGTGCATTTCCGATTATCACTTGAGCTACTGGTTGTTGGCATATCCATGTTATAAAAAGACAGTTAACGCGATAAAACAATGATTACAATGAAGACGATGGTGATATTTGTTAAACGATAATTAATTAATGACAAAAATGAAAAATTAAATGATTTGCTTTTCAAAAAAATAAACGAAAAAAACTTTTTTTTCAAAAAAAAAAATCAATCAATCAAAAAAAACAATTGAAACAATGAAAACAATTCGCTTCCAAACTGAACGATATTTATAACAATTGTTAACAATTCGAAATTTTAATCCAATTTGAATATTGTTTTTTTCATCAAGAAATGAAAATTACGATGGAAAACTCACGATGACAATTTTATGAACATAAATTTATGGTGACTAATTCATAATGATCAACTCATGTTGACAAATTTATGAACATCGATTCATGATGATCAACTCATGAAAATCAAATCATGATGATCGAAGCAATGAAAAATATTTAATCGATCCAAATTAACCATTATTAATCTATAATATTGTTTAATCATAAATTGTCATCAATACTCTAGCAAAACACAAAATAAGAACTATTCATATTTGATCTTGCCTGTCCAAAATGTCATATATGATATATCCGTGAATAAACTTTTTAGAAAAAAATTTAATTTATTATTTTAATTTAATATTTTAAAAAAGGCCTGATATATGTTATTCTGGAATAACTTTCAAATCAATATTTAAAACTCTTGGATAAATGTAATTTTCTTTTCTGTTTTTTATCCTCCAAATTGAATAGATATTTCTGGTTTCAATATCGTCAATCGTTTGTACATACAATGTTGGCGAATGTTCTACAACATACGCAGATAAAATTTCATCAAATTCAAGTGTGACGATTTCCTTTAATACAAAATGAATTTTATCTTCAAGAAAAAATATACGTTGTATGATAGCGAATCTTGAAAACCCACGTTTGTCAAATTTTAACAATCTAACAATCGATCTGCTTTTAAATCTTGTTGAAAAAATCGACAAACTGCTTATCCAGGTTATTATTTCATGCTGAAATATCTCTGGAAAATAATACTTCAAATCTTCGTCTATGGGTCCCCGATATTTATGATTTATTTGTATGTTTGAGCTATTGAATTTATCTGCTGTACTATAGGCAATCAGAATCGATTGCCTTTTCATCAAACTAAAAGTGACGTTACGATAATTTTTAGTTGAATTCATTTGTTCAACTATCAATCGATTGGCCTGCTCAAAATTAAAACATGAAAGCCGAAATATTGGTCCATATTGCTGAATCATTTCGGAATAATGTAAAAGATGATGGTCTTTATTTTTTCGACAGCCAGGAAATTTTTGCCATTTTAATTCATCATGTTGTCTGACTAGTTCTCCGATTTCCGTGACTGAATATTCGGTCAGAGATGGAGATTCGCATATTCTTAAAATTTTATTCAATTTTAGTATCAATTTCATCGCTGGAAAATTTTCATCAATATTTTCTCTCACGTTGATGAAAATGAATGGTAATGCCCTAATTAGCAATCCCATTTGTGATGCTTTTTGTTTTAATTTGGGCAAGCAATTATATGGCTTCCCGAACATGGTGTTGCTGATATTTGGGACAGGAATGTTTCGCTTCTCTGATTCCCCATAATCAAAGCCTCTAATCAAGGTGTTCATTTCATCAGAACCAACAGAAAAGCAATGATATAAAGTAGCAAAAAAAAGCATCACATCAGTATTCGCGACGCCTTCTAATATGTCGTGCATATAATCGAAGGTAATGTTGTTGGTGATGTGAAAAAATGGTAATTCATTCAAGGCACATGGACCATGTACCCCATAATATCTTTGACGAATTTCCGTTAACGAATTCCATTCAATTCTGTTGTACCATTCTAGGTCTCTCCTAGCAATAGTTTCACAACTTGGTGATTCGATTCGTTCTGACCTAGAAATCGTACATCGACGGCAAAAAATCGTTCCACCGGCCGCAAAGTAATTTGAAACTTCATGATAAGCTTTTGTATCGGCTGTAAAAGCTAAGATTATGGCTTTAAGATTACGCACCTGTCCACCAATCATTCGTCGAACGCCATCATCAGAACCCAATTGCTTCATATCTTCAATGAATTTTTTTAAAATTTTATCAAATCCATAAATGCCAATCAAGTTTTCATTAACATAGAGGATCGGTATAATATCAGTTGGTTTAGAACTTGTTTCGATTTCAAGATCTAAGACTCGGTAATAAAAAGCATAATAACGGTGCTTTGAACAGGATGCGCCCAAAGGATTAGTAATTGAGACGCCATCAGCATTCAAAAGAAGATGAAATGCGTTTTTGTTTTTTTGTCTGTAGATTTGTAAATCATTACTTAAATAACGTTTACCATCTCGAAATGATTTGTAATTATATGGTTCACTGTTATTAGAATTTTCAAATATATGGTCAAAATCAATATGATGAAGATATGAAGATAAACTTTTGATGGGCGACATATATTGAAAATAATCTTGAATTTTTCTCTGTTTTCCATTCGAGATTTCATTACGTTCACCTAGATGAACTTGCTCGAAGTCAGGAATTGGAACCAGGTTTTGAGCGTAGAACATCTTTTGTTTGGCTGTTACATGCGATGGGAATAATTTTGGATGATTAAACTTGCATTCAAGTCATTCTTTTTTTTAGAATTTTACTCACATTCTGATCGAATATCTGGTAAATAATTGTTATGGTCCATTGTTTGAAAAACCTGATCCCAATCATTCACACCACCGTCAATCGCTGTTTTCAATATCTTCAAGATATTTTCATTGTAGTTTTTCAATGAAAAAGCTAAGATGTCGTATACTTTTGCGAAGTTACTTTGAGTGAAATTGACCTTTGGTTTTGAGAAATATGAAATTATTGAGGTAAATTAACTTATTAAATTACTCAATAATAGAGACCTGGGCTTTTAAAAGCAACAATTTCATGGCAATTTTATTCTTGATCATATTTGCCTGCAAAGCATTCTCATCCAATGGAATCGACATATTTGCCTGCAAAACATTCTCATCCAATGGAATCGCCATATCCTCTTCGATTCGCTGATCACTCACATCGATATGGTCATCAATAGCTGAATCCATATCGGTTGGCGATTGCCACTCCATAATTGATCCTGATGTCGAAGTGGATGGATTTGTGCTTGATTGGCTAAACAATTCGGCATGTTTCGATAATAAATGGTACTTGTGGTTACCAAACGTTGTTTGGTTAGAGTGTGGGCAGAAAAGACAAAAATATATCTTTTCACGATTGGCATCATCATGTTCGTGCATCAAATGCTTACGATAGATGACCAAATCGTTTCCAACGATTTCATTCCGACAAATGAAACATCCTTGGTCAAATGAGAAAATTCATAAGAATAATCAAGCCATTGTGTTTAATCATCGCTTTCAGATAATAGTGTTTTATCACTTACTTAATCGTGAAAAGTCCATTACAAACCAATAAGATAATCACAAAAGAGAAAATAGCGGAAAATGAAATAAACGAAAGATGGATTGTAAATATCGATATAAATGAACAACAATGCAACAAAATATTGACAGATCGATAGGAAATAATTATTACGGCATGTGATCCATGTGTTGATTGTCATGTACCTTAGCCAATATTTTTGTACCTGTGTTCAGGAACATGTTAAAACTAATCATAAAATTGGCAAGGCTTAACCAAATATTCACCGTTCTCCAATTGATATTTGCAATGACATTTTTCGCGGGTTTTTTCAAATAGAAGCAAGTTTATTCAATTCTTTGTTATCAAACTTGTAATTTACAAATGTATTTTAATTCAACATCAATTAGTTTTTTTTTATTTATTGCAAAAAACTCTTATACCAAAAAATAAGGCTGAAGTATCAACAAGTATTTACTGTTTTTTGTTTGTATATTTTTCATTTTTATTGTTTTTATATATATTAATATGAAATAGTAGCGTTAATTAAATAAAATCAATTCTATTCTATTCTATTCTATTTACAACTTATTGGATTATCGAGTGCTGCTCCTGATGTTTCTCGGATAGTATCGATAACTTCCGATAACTTCATTGACCTTCTCTCCGTGGTTGATTTGCCGATCTTTTGATATAGAAAAAAATCTGGCCATGTTAGGTTTGAAATTTGGATTTGCTAAAAAACGATTCTCTTCATGTTATGCCTGAAATTTTGGTTTGTTTGGTGAAAGTTCTCTTCATGTTTGGTAACCAATTTGTTTCTATGTCAATTTGACATATTTTATCAAGAAATTAAAAATAGGGCTTATATTTAAAAATTATTTTGAAATGTTCCATTGAGATTATGATTTTTTGAATCCATTTATTTTCACCTTTGGATTGATAACCGAAATTAACCGTGCAAATTTTGACAGTAACAGATACAAATTCATTGGAACGGAAATATCTGTGAATTTCTATTGTTAAATAAATATTGGAAAAAGTCAAAAATTTTACAAGTCCGTCAAATAATCAAGTGAGCATGCTCCACGATGACTA